CTATAAAGCTCTGAGCAGTGACAGTATGTACAACTGCCTTGCTGGATATACCTTAGAAAATGGTTTTCAAAAGGAAGATAAAACCAGGTGCTAAGTGGCTCACATCTCTAATCTTAACTACTCAGGAGGCTGAGATCTGAGAATCGAGATTCGAAACCAACTTGAATGGGCAAATTCTTTATACTCCACCTTCAAATAACCTGTAAAAAGAATTCAGACATATAGGCATGGCTCATATGGTAGAGTGCCAAGCACGAGTAAAGAGACAAGTGAAACATGAGTCCCTGAGTTCAAAGCTCAACACTAGGGGCTGGGAAGGTGGCTCAGTGGTAGAGCGCTTGCCTTGTATGCATGAGGCCCTGGGTTCGATTTCTCAGCACCACATAAGCAAAAAGAAAAAAAGCCAGAAGTGGCACTATGGCTCAAGTGGTAGAGTGCTAGACTTGAGCTGAAGAGTTGAGGGACAGAGCCCAGGCCAAGAGTTCAGGCCCCACGACCGGACCCAAAAACAAACAAACAAACAAACTCAATACTAGGAGTAAAAAAATCAAAGGAAAGGCATCTTAAGAAGGAAATATATTGCTATTTAATTTAAAATAATAATAGGGGGGGTTGAGAAGGTTGCTCAGTGGTAGAGTGCTTACCTTGCATGCACAAGACCCTGGGTTCAATTCCTCAGCAGAAAAAGCTGAAAGTGACTGTGGCTCAAGTGGTAGAGGGCTCGCCTTGAGCTGAAGAGCTGAGGGAGAATGCCTAGGCCCAGAGTTCAGACCCCATGACCGACTAAATAAATAAATAAATGGCAGATCAGGTATGAGAATACATACCTATAATCTCTCTCTGTAGGTAGTCTCTGTAGGAGACTGTAGATAGAATGACTGCAGTCCAAGTGTGCCTAGACAAAAAATGTGAGACCTTATTGGAAGAATAAATAAAGAAAAAGAGTTGGGTATGTGGCTTAAGGGGTAAAGCAACTAATTGGCAATCATGAGGCCCTGGGTTCAAACTTAACCCTAGGACTCCCCAAAATAAGAAATAATGAAACAAAATAATGATAGAGATAAAATTGCCTGACAAAGAATTAAATCTCATAATGAGACTAAATTCTAACCATCTAAGAATAAATGTTTCCCTAACTGTTGTTGATTTTGTTTTCAAAAAGTTTTAAATACTGAACAAGACTATCCTAAAGATCAGTGAACTACAAGACTGATTTAGTGCTAAATCATTCTTTTTCTTCTTATTTTGGATACTTGGGAGGGTATATGAAGGAGGCAGTGGCAGGAAGATCAGTCAAGTCAGTTCAGTGAATGTAACTGAACTCTGGAAAAAGTAAGGACACTGAATCTCCCAATCCAGCAATGTAAAAAAAAAAAAAGTCTGGAATAAATATGAGACACAGAAATAATAGAAATAATAGCTAGAAGATGGTTCTAAAAAAGGTTTTCTTTTATGAAGGAACATTTTTGACCGTATGGTTGAACTGCTCACATAAGCCACATTTACTAACAATAAGAAATTCATTTTCTAAAACAAGAACCAGTCACTTGCATTTAGTTTCAAGAGTTTGCCAAAAAGAATCCACATGAGCTTTAATGACATTACGTTTTGGAAGTCACAACATAAGCATTCTAAGAATCAAACATGATGCTTTCCACCATTACATTTTGCCTAAATGGAATTCTTTTGATATGCTTCCCCTTATTCAGCAAAATATACCCTGAGTCCGAAGCCATTTCCTGGAATCCTAATTACTTTCAATGAAGCACTAAATCATTTTATTGGAAAGTCCAAATGCCTTCTTACTGCTGGGAATAATATTACTACTTACTTTTTGCTCCAGCTTTTCAAGATCCTACTGCAAACAAAATGATCCTTTATGATACTTTATTATACTCTACGTAGTTTACTGCTTTCCAGAATTTCAATTGTTAATTAAAGGGCTTCCTTTCGCCTTCCCTGCCCCCTAAAAAAATGAATCTATTCCCCAACTGCCAATCTGAGAGCAAATAAAAATCAGTCTCTCACAGCAGCAGTGATGGTCATGCCAATTTCACAGTGTGACTGGTGCACTCATTTCATTTTGAAAATGACCCTGCCCTCCATCTGTCTAAACCGAATGTCCTGTTTTTTTCAAGCCAGGCCTCTAGAGCAGCATCCCATGAAATAAGGAGGAAGCCAGACAGCCTCCCTCTCACCCACCTCAGCTGCCATGCTCATAGACAGGTGCCAGCTCAAAGAGGAGAACCCCAGCTGATTCCTACAGGGATCAAAGACATTGCGGGGAAAGCAGATAGTCCTTTCATTATTTTTTTTCATACATTTCTGAGAAGTCATTTGAAGGTGAACATTTTCATAATATAAATCAAACTCTGCACAACATACAGAAAGACATGAAAGACAATTTCTTGCTTCTCTGTTCTCTCTTACCTTAACTTAAAAGCAATTTACCCTAAGTAACAGTTCAAGATCAAAGCTTTTAAAATACAGAGTTTTTGGACTTTGTTTCCAGGGGTGAGAGAAATTCAGGCTAAAATAAAGAGAAGATATTTCCCTTACTTCCTGATCATTGAACAGTGCTAATAAACATCCTTCAATCCACGTATTCAAGCCTCAATTCATTCCTGGATTGAAGAGCATGAGAAGTCTAAAATAGAAGTTATAAAGACTTATAGCTGGAGGTTAAATTGTAAGAAGCCTGGACATGGGCTGGCCTTCCTCAGTAGCTTCCTTTAGTGATCATGCAAAATTGTCATGAGCTACACTCAGTCCTTCTGAAATGCTTGAAGTCTGTCCTTTTCTTTGTATTCATGTAGTAGGGATATCAAGTCTATTCTAGTATCTGAAAGATACTAGACCAGTCTGTCTGGTCATATCTGGAAGAAAACAGCAATTCTAAGCAAGGGAGCAGAATATATGAGAAGTCAGCTGTTTTGTAGTATAGATTTACATGCCTACTGATGTCTTTTTCTAGTTGTAACAGGTGACAAGAACTTACAGCATCCTCTACTAACTACTCCCTACCACTTACTTACAACTCATTCCAGGAAGTACAAATTCTTACCGCCCCAAACAGGTTGGTCATTTTAATAGGGAAAAAAACATTTTGAAAAAGTCACTAATATTCCCTCCAGGCTGGATCCATGAATGATCTATGAGTTAATTCATTACTTACCATTGCTTTTTAAAATTAGTATTTAGATAACATGCTTCAGCCATTTCCCATCTACCTTTGGGGTCTTGGGAAAGTTATTTAACCTTTCTGATCTACCAATTTTCGAACCATAATATACAAGTTTGGGTCATTAAAATTAGAATGTAAATATGCGAGAAGTGTCATGAAAAATGGTTGGTGTTGATTCAAAATTCTATACATGGAAAGATTTATATGCAGAAATACTGGTAAGGAGGGAGCTTAAATATATTGGCTGTTTAGTACTTAATTGCAAAATGAAGACATGCTTTGACTTAGATTGATTACAATGCTGAGGCCAGTGAAGACAATGAAAGACATTTGGAAGAAAACATCTACCCCAGGAACCAGTGACGATTATATATTGTGAAAGTCACACATATAATCGAATACTCTAATACTTGACTAAATTTTTTATTTAAGCTCTCACAAATTGTACAGTGTCCAGACTGGGAAATCTATGGATATGATTTTATTAGTGATCTTACTATAAGATGATTAAGTCCCTAGTTTTTTCTGTCCCATCAGACACCACTGACTTGAAAGTATATTTTTTAAAAGCCTTGATAACATGAAATCTAGAACATCTATTTGAAACAGATGAAAAAGGAACAGAAGAAAGTACGAATGATTTCTTGTACAGTCTAGCTCTTCAAACTAAGAATGTATGGGTGGAAAGGAAGTAAACAATATGATTTTAAAATAAATAAATAAGAAATACACTTTTAATCATCTCAATAATATTCCAAAGGATCATTAAAAACATGACAAGTAAAAGTTAACGATCTGTGAGAAAAGATGTCTTTTGTATTAAAGTGGATCACTTCTTTTCTGTCAATCTTGGGAGAAATGTTTCCCTAAAAAGTTCGTGTTTTGATCAGGTGGCTTGGCCCTTGTTTTTTGCATTTTAGATGCATCCTATTCTGCTTCTGTTAAGATGTCCTGTGATAAAATCATTACATTTTAGTTACACCTTATTCCTGTTAAGATATTTGTTCCCATTAATTAAGACACATTTAGATATGAAAAAAGTTTTTTTGCCCTTTTCAAACTAGCCAATTTGCAGCAGAGGGCAACTCCAGCAGAGAGGCAGGGCGTGCTGCCTTAGAGATAAAAGAGGAGCAGCCCCCATGCTTTGTTTGCTGGTTTTCGGGTGATGGTGCATCCTTCTGTACAAAAGTAAAAATTGACTTGATGAGACAATTCTTTGTTTTGGTGTCGTCGGTTGAGAACCCGATTGTTCTCGGAGAGCATAGTTATATCCGCATCTTTCTTAGTCACAGCGCACAAGGTCGACTATTCAAGTGGAGCAGAGTTAAAATACATAGATGAGAGCAAGGGTTAAGAGAGCTGTGTGTTTTTCACTGTCAGTAAAGATAAGGTTATCTTAGTACATAGTAGGGCAAGTTAGAAAATGAAGACAGTAGGAATAGCCAAATTTAAATGTCATCATAGACTCAGTATATAGGAAAATGTGGGGTGGAAAATGCTTGGATCTAAAATTCGTAGCAGTACCAGTTTGAAGATCCACAGCACATTCTTCTTCTCTCCAAACCTTATGGGTATCACCAAATAAAAGATTCCTGGTCAATGTACCATTCTGTTCTAGGAAAGCGTATCTTCAGGGGAGCAAAAAAAGAGAATTCTAAAGGAGTAACTCGCTATATCCCTTAAGAAGACACCACCCCTGAGAGTCTCCGAGTCCTAAACGCAGAAACTACATCTCCCACAAGGCAACGCGGAAACATCCGGTGGAACAGTACGCGCAAGCGGTGCATGCTGGGACATGGAATATCCGCTTCTGAACGGCCTGAAGGAATGTCTTCTCTACTCGGCACTCCGGCACTTCTTAATTGGAGTCTTTGAGGACTAAGCCAAGAGACTGAAACGCTCCTGCTAGTGGTTTGCTTTGGTTCGGAACCGGTTACTGCCGCTGCAAAGTAACAAGACCGACGCCCATTTCCGGTTGGCCGGTTGCCGTGGAAACGAGTAAGCACAGTTCTCCAGCGGTTATGGCGGGGCTGAGCAGCGCTCAGATCCCCGACGGGGAGTTCACGGCGGTGGTGTACAGACTCATCCGCGACGCCCGCTACTCCGAGGCCGTGCAGCTGCTGGGCGCAGAGCTGCAGCGCAGCCCCAAGAGCCGCGCCGGCCTCTCCCTGCTCGGCTACTGCTACTACCGCCTGCAGGAGTTCGCCCTGGCCGCCGAGTGCTATGAGCAGCTCGGCCAGCTCTACCCCGACATCGAGCAGTACCGCCTCTACCAGGCCCAGGCCCTGTACAAGGCCTGCCTCTACCCAGAGGCCACCCGCATCGCCTTCCTCCTCCTCGACAACCCAGCCTACCACAACCGGGTCCTGCGCCTGCAGGCTGCTATCAAGTACAGTGAGGGAGACCTGCCAGGGGCCAGGAGCCTGGTGGAGCAGCTGCTGGGTGGGGAGGCTGGCGAGGAGGGAGGGGGCGAGAATGACACTGATGGCCAGGTCAACCTGGGCTGTTTGCTCTACAAGGAGGGACACTATGAAGCTGCCTGTTCCAAGTTCTTTGCCGCCCTGCAGGCCTCGGGCTACCAGCCTGACCTTTCCTACAACTTAGCCCTGGCCTATTACAGCAATAGGCACTATGCTCCAGCTCTGAAACACATAGCCGACATTATTGAGCGTGGTATTCGCCAGCACCCAGAGCTGGGTGTGGGCATGACCACTGAGGGCATCGATGTTCGCAGTGTGGGCAACACCACAGTCCTCCACCAGACTGCTCTGGTGGAAGCCTTCAACCTCAAGGCAGCCATAGAATACCAGCTGAAAAACTTTGATGCTGCTCAAGAAGCCCTCACTGACATGCCCCCTAGGGCAGAAGAGGAATTGGACCCTGTGACCTTGCACAACCAGGCACTCATGAACATGGACACCAGGCCTACAGAGGGCTTTGAAAAGCTACAGTTTTTGCTGCAACAGAATCCCTTTCCCCCAGAGACCTTTGGCAACCTCTTACTGCTCTACTGTAAATATGAGTATTTTGATCTGGCAGCAGATGTCCTGGCAGAGAATGCACATCTGACTTATAAATTCCTCACACCCTATCTCTATGACTTCTTGGATGCAATGATCACTTGCCAGACAGCTCCTGAAGAGGCTTTCATTAAGCTTGATGGGCTAGCAGGGATGCTGACTGAACAGCTCCGGAAACTCACTATACAAGTACAAGAAGCAAGACACAATAGAGATGAAGACCTTGTTAAAAAGGCATTGATTGAATATGATGATGCCCTTGAGAAGTACATTCCTGTGTTGATGGCCCAGGCAAAAATCTACTGGAACCTTGAAAATTATTCAATGGTGGAGAAGATCTTCCGCAAGTCCGTGGAATTCTGTAATGAACATGATGTGTGGAAGCTGAATGTGGCTCATGTCCTTTTCATGCAGGAAAACAAATACAAAGAAGCCATTGGTTTCTATGAGCCCATAGTCAAGAAGCATTATGATAACATCCTGAATGTCAGTGCTATTGTGTTAGCCAACCTCTGTGTTTCCTACATTATGACCAGTCAAAATGAAGAAGCTGAGGAGTTGATGAGGAAGATTGAAAAGGAAGAAGAGCACCTGTCCTATGATGACCCAGACAAGAAAATCTACCATCTCTGCATTGTGAATTTGGTGATAGGAACACTTTATTGTGCCAAAGGAAATTATGACTTTGGCATTTCTCGAGTTATCAAAAGCTTGGAACCTTATAATAAAAAGTTAGGGACTGATACTTGGTATTATGCCAAAAGGTGCTTCGTATCCTTACTAGAGAACATGTCAAAGCACACAATCATGCTTCGTGACAATGTTATTGAAGAATGTGTTCAGTTTCTAGAACACTGTGAAGTTTTTGGTAGGAATATACCTGCTGTTATAGAGCAACCCTTGGAAGAAGAAAGAATGCATACTGGAAAGAATACAGTCACTTATGAATCCAGACAGTTAAGAGCTTTAATTTATGAAATTATAGGGTGGAATATGTAGTTATTCTGGATAATGGGTTAATCATGATGACTTCATTCTGTGAGTTTTGTGCTTTTTATCTGCAGTTAGTCTTTAATATTTATATTTGTTGTATGTTAAATTTTGTACACTTTACCACTATAACAAAAGATAAAACTTTCACTTTTAACTTTTCATACAATATTGTGTGATCTTACTCCAGAAGCTGTGAAAAGCTCTGGACTGAGCAGGACTGTTGCGTTTATTAGAATTTCTAACACTGTTCTTTTTATCTTTTTGCTTTGTTGTTGATTTTGAGGAACTTACACATGTATTGCACTATTCAGGGATCAGACACTAAATCTATAACCCTTAGAAATTAATATGTATGATCTGGGTTTTTTAATCATTTCTGGGAATGTTTATTCTAGCCTCACAATTTAGCCATTTAATTGTACTAATATGTGTATATTCTTAGAATTTGGGATGTCTTGGCAGTGTTTTACAAAATAGATGCAATGTTTTTGGTTTTAAGATAGGGTTTTGCTATGTAGCTCAGGCTGGCCTGAAAAACAGCCTCCTAGAGTTTTGAGATTACAAGTATGTACCAGCACAGCAACCCAGAAACAATGCTTTATTTAAATGGTTCTTTTACTGTTGAGGATTCAGTGGGAAGTCTTGTTCACTTAACTGTCATGCTGTGATGTAGATAATAAAAGATTACCAAAGAAATTTCCATGGTTCTCTTTTGTTACATTTGTACATTTGTAATTTGAATATATGAACAAGATATAAATAAAACTTGAGAGCTCAGTATTCCAGCAGTTGTATTTGTAATTTAGGAAATGCAGTATTGTCCATGTTGTTGTGACTGGGGTAAGAAGAATTTATACTATTCTCTTACACCTGTCATTGAAAAAGACAATTCTTACAGATTCAGTATTTGTTTCACTCCACAACCCACAATAGTTTTTTTGGTTCCCTGTTTTCCCCAATATTCTTTGGTATCCCTGGTTCTTCTGATCTGAAATGTTAGTTTCAGAAACCCGTAAGAGATTTAATACTTGTTTCTCTGCCCCTTATTCCTTTCCAAAAATGTAACCCCAATCTGACCTGGCTTTGAAAAAAAAAATGTAAGAAGCAAGTTCAACCATTAAATTGCTGATTTTTAGCCTACAAAATTAATATTTTTTCATTCAGCCTGATCACTTTCTAGTGAAATACAGTTCCATAATTACGATTTTTTTTCCTTTAGAAACTAGCCATAGAGATACAATATAAAGCCCGATACAGTCTCTCATGAGCACCAACTATTCAATGCTCAAGTTCTATTAGATCAGAAAATTACTGTGAAGACTTATTGTAAAATTCAGTGGTTTTGGATTTATGGCATTTCTAATTGTGTGTATATACCGGGGCTTGACCTCAGGGCCTAGAACTGTCCCGGAGCCCTTTTGCTCAAGGATAGTGCTCTACCATTTGAGCACCAGCTCCACTTCTGGCAGTTGGTGTGTTGTTTTTTTGTTTTTGGTTTACTGGAGATAAGAGTCTCGTGGGCTTTTTTTCTGCAAAGGCTGGCTTTGAACTGTGATCCTCAGATCTCAGTCTCTTGAGTAGATAGGATTACAGTGTGAGCCACTTGTGCTTGGTAGTATTTCTAATTTTAATGATTGTTTTCATTTACCAAAGATTGGATGACCCTTATCTGGAAGAAAATGTTTAGCAGCATCTTCAGTACGTCCTAGAGCACATTCTATGTTTAGGAAATGTTCTCTGTTAAACAACTTCTGTCTTAAAAATGTTGCTGCAGTATCTTTGTGCCCCTTCCAATTTCAAGCTTTTAAGGTTTGGAAAGTAAGTGAACTGAAATCTTATTTTCAACATGAAAATTGTTTTCCCCTTATTTACTCTAAACCAAATGACTTTTTTTTTTAAAAAAAAATTAAGGAATATTAACCACTCAAAAGCAAATGTTTTCCAATTTCCTTTTGACAAATAGGCTTTATTCAGTCACTATTTATCCATGGATGTGTATTTGTGGTTTGTATATATGTAGTTAGGCTGTTTAGAACATAAAACCTTTTCAGAAGTTTTTAATCCCTTGCTGCTAGGCAGTTGGGATTTCCTGTTCAGTGATATCAGGAACTCTTGACTGCTCACATCACTGATTAAGTGAGAAATGTTCAATCATGGCATGCCCTGACTCTCCAGAGAAGCAACAACTGTATTCAGATGGCTACTAGTAATGTATATAACCACAAACCTAAAGCTGAGGCCTGGAACCACTTGGGAGAGTGAATTCCTAACTCCTTGGGTACTATCGTTATTTTTAGGTATATGTCCTTTAATCTCATGTTCAACCGACACTTATATGTTTCTTGATTCAAAAACACAAATGAATTTAACACAAAATCTTTTTTTGTTGTTGTTGGTCGTGGGGCTTGAACTCTGGGCGTGGGTGCTGTCCCTGTGCTGCTCAACACAAGGCCAGTGCTCTACCACTTGAGCCACAGCGCCACTTCTGGTTTTCTAGTGGTTTACTGGATTTAAGAGTCTCATGGAGTTTCCTGCCTGGGCTGGCTTTGAACCAGGATCCTCAGATCTCAGCCTCCTGAGTAGCTAGGATTCAGGCATGAGCCACCGGTGCCCGGCTACCCCCATAATTTTTATTTGATTAGAAGACACCCCCCCCCCAATTCTTAACACTCAGACAAAAATATTTATTCTAAGAGCACTCATGTTGATGTGGAAGCACTTTTCTTGATAAAAGGAAATATTTTTCCCCCCATATTTCTAAAGTTTTTATTTATTTATTTTTTTTTGCTGGTCCTTGGGCTTTAACTCGGCCTGGACACTGTTTCTGAGCCTTTTTGTGCTCGAGGCTAGCACTCTACCACTTAAGCCACAGTGCCACTTCCAGCTTTTTTCTGAACTTCAGCTTCTTCTGAGTAGTTTATTGGAGATAACAATCTCATGAATTTTCCTGCCCAGGCTGGCTTTGAACTGCAAGATCTCAGCCTTCTGAGCAGCTGGGTCTTTTCTTAATATTTTCCATAGCTAAACAGTCTGTTTTAAAAGGATCATATATAACGCCAGTATTTGTAATCTTAGTAACTCTTGATCTTCATATGCACATACAGAATTGAGCATGTTTGTGTTACTGAAGTTTTAGGGCAGAAGCCTTGGCTCTCAGAGTCACCAAAAGACTAGGCCAGACCACTAGTCCCAATACACCAATCAAGAGCTGAATAGTGGTGAAAAGAAGTGAAAGGATTAATAGATAAAAAAGGTTCAATGACCTCAAAATCCATCTTTAAGGGGCTAATAAAGACTTTCAAAATTTAAAGGAAGTCATCTCAGTAGGGGTTGGCAACAGGTTCTGGAGAAATTATCACTGTCATTGCTTGAGGGAAGCCTTTTGGTTCCATATTACTCCTGCTCAAGGCCGCAGCTTCACAGGTAACTGCCTTCATTTGGGAGGGAATGACATTATGAGGTGACTGGGCCTGAGGCTCACTGTTGCTTAGCAATATTTCAGTCCCTTTTGACCAAAGTGTTTATCAAACAGTATGTTATTACTGGCATTCAGTCTAACTGCAAAAGAGAGCAACTCAAGAAGAAATAAGTGGCAAAAATAAAGCCACATTGGAGTTAGGCCAATGACAGGTGCCTTCCCTCATTTCTACACAAGTAGATAACATCTATGTTCTTAGATGTGAGAAAGAACATGATCTGACATTGCAGAAGTACCAAACACAGACTTCTTTGATCAGCCATGATATACCTCACCTCCCAAAGGCGTTCAATTCTTCATGGAAGTTCATCTTTGAATGTGGCCTTAGCGATGGCATGGATGTTGGCACTGATATTATTTGTGAATCTGGAGTGTACAGTGGCTGACTGACCCATTCAGGAGAAACAGACCACTGGAAACTGGGAGCATTCCATGGGGATGAGGTGAATGAACCATCTACAGTGAGTTAGATGCCCAAATGCATAAACCTTAGGAAATGTGGGGAACACAAGACTAAATGAAAGAGGGGCACTGGTGGCTCATGTTTTTAATCCTAGTTATTCAGGAAGCTGAGATCTGAGGATCACAGTTCAAAGCCAGCTCAAGCAGTTAAGACTCATCTCCAATTAGCCACCAGAAAACCGAAAGTGGAACTTTGGCTAAAAGGGAGAGTGCTAGCTTTGAGCAAGAGCTCAAGGACAGTGACCAGGTCCTGAGTTCAAGACCCACAACCAACCAAAAGAAAATAAAAGTAAATGAGTTGGAGTAACTTTCTAGTGTTAGTTCATACTGGTTAGTCATACTGGAAGTGTGAGTCTAAGAAGTACTCTAAGGTAATGGCTATCTAAACAAACTAACATCACTAAAACCAAATCTTTCACATGAGTATCAGTATTTTCCAATAGAATTTGGACCTCAAACAAAAAATTCTATAGCTCAATAGCAGGAGGTAAAAGTTTTGGTGCAGCTAGTGATTACTGAAATGGATCATGTAAAACAAAGCTCAACAGATCTCATCTTTAGTCATTCCAGAACCCAGACAGCTACAACCACCCTTCCAGTGTGGGAACAACAGGCAATGACAAAATCAATACCTGTGTTCATGTTCTTCACTAATGGGGAAGCTACTCATAGGTACAGAATGTATTCTATTTCTCCAAGTAACAGCATGATGCTGTTGAAGTTTACATGAAATCAATATGAAATAAAACTTTCTGTGCAATAATTAATTATGGAATAGTTTTATTTGTTCCCAGAACACCTTTAAAAAAAAATCACACATAGGCATTTGCCTTAGAACAATACAATCTAGGAAAACTAATAAAAGGAGAATCTGAACATACACTGAAAGCACAGTCTACAGACTATGTGGCGAGCCCTTGTGGAAAACAATATGGCTCAGGTTGAATTGACAAAGCTATTCTGAACTCTCCAGGAAATCTCCCTTCCCGCTGCATATCCAGTTTTAGACTATAAATTTAAAGAGATCTGTTTTATATGCATTAGTTACAGCAGTATAATGGCTTACATACAAATGTTTACCCACATGTAGCTCCCAAAAGGCTACTACAGTACTGGCAGGAATATGTGCTGCCTTGGAGGAAGACTCAGGATATTATTCAAGTCAAGTTGATTCAGAGCCAAAGTATTTCACAGACTTAGCAAAAAATCGAATCTACACACATTTCTTATAAGATTTACTATTGCCCAGGAACAGAAATATTTTGAAGGCACCATCACACAAAAAGGACACAGAACGTAAGAAATAAAAACCATCCTTCTAGGCTCAGCTCTTCTAGGGAGCTGTGTGAGCAAAACTCCAACAGCATGTAATAAGCATCTCAAGACTTGGTGAGTTTGTCACATTTGCCAGGCCACATCTTAGGGCTACTATATTGGGACAGAAGAAAGCATTAAGAATGAAAAGTTGTTACAAATCCCACTGATTAGATGTGTCAGAGTACATGTTCACCATACAATTATGTAAATATTCTAGATGACCCAGACCAACATTGTGGAAAAAGAATACCAATGTTTCTACATACAACTAGTTAATTCCTGACACCCACCTTGAGGAGGAATAGCCTTGGACTGCTAAACAGCCTCTATCTTTAAAGACTTACCCTCTTCCACTCTTCAAATGGCTATTTCATGGAAAAAATAATCCCAACAAGGCACTGAGGGCTTTGGGGGATATTAAGACACTTAATAGCTTCATAGCAAATGTACTAATACAAGTATTTCATAACCTTTTTGCTAATCAGATTAAAGGTTAAAAATACATTTCACAGAGTGCTTGTGGTATTTATGAAAAACAATGATAATAAGGTGCCTTAAAAACTATGCATGTTGCTTAGAAATCTGCACTTAAACAGTTTTATCCCTTTTGCAAAGGCCTGGAATGGGAATTCAAAAAATCCAAAATTTTTTTTACCAGTAATAGTTATGTTCTCCTTGTGGGAAAAAAAAAATGTTAGGAACCAAGTCTTTCCATATTCACAGAAGTTAAGTTACTGTGACAGTTCTTTGGTGTGGCAAATATCCAAGGTCCTTTTTCTCCTTTGTTAAGGAATTGTTATAGTTAGAAAAGCATTTAAGAATGCTTGTTCACTGAGGATCTTCCAAGGTTTCAAAGGGAATGCTTCTGAACCAAATAAGACTAAACACTAACTAGGAATTTAACATTGATTTTTTTTTAAAAAAGAACATTGATACAACCTATGGAATGTCATATTTAGCTATAAATCCAAAGGGATTTCATCAGTTAGGTAGAACTTTATTTTTCGAACATCAAATTATAAAAGTTATTTCCTGTTTTCAAATAAGTAGAAATATGAAGATGAAAAACTAAAGTTGAAAAAAATCCATATACAAACAGAAGAAAAAACAGCTTCACATCCCCTTTGAATAAAAAAACTCTTAGATCAGGTCCATTTTATTAATAATATGTTTCTATAATATCTTGACATTATACAAGCAGTTGTTACAGTTAAATTTCACAATGAAGACAAACACTATTTGGCTTAGGAAATAGAAAGTTGAGTAAGTTACATCCTTCCCATCAGATAGTATAGTTCAACAGTTTAAGTAAGCTTGAACTTTCTTTATTTCAGCATCACTGTATGTGCATTTCTCCCTTTCAGGAATATGAAGCAAGTAAGAAATAAATATGTGGACATATGTCTCACTGGAGAACATAAAACTTTGAGCAAAACTAGCCCCCCACACCCATGAAGCCAAAGGTAGGACACTGAATGCGTCTGCTTTTCTCCTACCATAAGCTAAGTCCTAACTAAAGTCAGAATTGCTAAAAGATTAAGTAGTAAAAAGTTAATGAAACTGTCTAACTTCTGTCTCAGTGCTTCTTAGAATGGAGTAATGTTTTCCACAGCATTCCATCTGGCAGTCTAAAGCACCAAGTTTTGATTCTATACCTGCTCATCCAAGATTTTTACTCTATCCCTACTAAGTAACAGTGCTCTAATACTGAGCTCAATCAAACCCAGCTCCAGATGACCAGCTAAGGGAACAACATACTTCAGCTTAGGGCTTGAGAGCTTCTCTGATCAGCTAAAGTTCAGAAGCTGTTAATTGTGAAAGAAGATAACAAAGAAAAAAAAATCTCTGGGGTCAACAGGGAGAAAGACATTTTTAAAATGAAATCTTACTTGGAATCAACTGTATGTGAGATAATATACACATTGATAGAACATCATTCTTTATTCCACTTTTGTTTTTCAAAATATATCAAAACACTAGAATATACATACTAGAAGGCTTCCCACTTCATAAATAACCTCAGAGTAATGGACTATACTACTGTAATCACTCTTAGAAACAAACTTCCAATTCCTCAAGAGGAAATAACTTAATCCTCTTTGCTATGTTCAAATACTGAGAACAATAAAACGTGGCCTCCACAATTCTTAAACTGAAATGGCTCATGTATACTTAAAACCAAAGTAAATTCACTTGTATACCAACATTAAGGCAATCACAATAAAGCCTGTGCACACTGAATCTTTAGTATCAGTGCTACTTCTTACTAGCAGCAAGTTCCCATTCCCACTGAAACCCCAATCCACAGGTAACATCATCAAATTTAAGAAAGATACTACAAATATTATTAACTTAAAAAAGACAAGTCAGTGTTACCCAGTACTGAAAACCAACTAAGTTATGGGCTTTTAAATTTTTAAATAAAATTATTCAAAATGAATTAAAAAGCCTAACATAAACAATATTCTCCTAGCTTTATGAAGGCATTTTCAAATATTTCAGAAATAAGAGGCATGGGTTAAGTGCTCTGTGCATTTTCGTAGTCCTCCACTGTCTGTGAGAAGTTGGGGAAGGCATTCTGATATAGTAAATCAGAATGAACAATACCGATGAACATTCCTGTGCTTCATAATGATACCTGTATAAATGATTCCAACTATAAAATATAGTCACCATTATAAAATCAAGGTTGGGGAATCCTGGCATACATGGAAAAAGGAAAACAAAGATTTATTTCACTAACTTCCATAAGGTTCACATAGAATAGTGAACACAACAATTTCAGATATTACATTTATAAATCCTAATATCAAATACAGATCTCTGTGACAAAAGCTGAACTCTCTGGGAAAGAATGTTGTACCAGTCACATGCAAAGGAATGGATCTAATAATAAATCTGTTTTATTAAAACATTATTTAGTAACATGAATACACACAATCAGTGAGATATTAGTACCTTAGTAAATTTTACATTTTGATCACCAATTAGAAATCACCTTAATGAACAGATGCATTTTATGAAACTGAAGATCTTATAATTCCAGAGGCATTTTCTTATTAAGTGTCCAACTATTTCAAACAATCAAGGGATTAAGCAAATATTGGTTGGAAATTTGATAATTCAAACTAAATCACCAACAAAGAGACACAAGTTCTAAAAAGTAAATATTCAGTTTTTGTTGTTAAACTAATCATTTTGATTTGCCTACAGGTTTAAGTTTTGTTAGTTTGTGGCCAATTTTAATAGTTAAAAATTATTCATAATTTTGAAGTCTTAAAAATAACATTTTGTCAATTTCAAATTTTACTTTTCTGGTTAAGGCTATTTCAGATATAAAAGGTATCAAACTGCCCAAAAATACTTTGGAGCTGTTGCTACATACACAGACAGTGAGTCCTTTTAAAGGATCGTCTGCATTTTCACATACATTATCTGATTAAATATTAATTTTAAAAAATTATCAAAAGTTTGGTATTGCATTAAGAAAAGAATCCATCTCCAAATGTGAATCATGAAGCTTGACGGTGATTTAATCATTTCACTTTTTTTTTTAAATATCAGGTTGAATGTAAAAATGTTTGCTAAATGTGATTAATGTTTTTATAATTTAAGAAACAGGATATTCTAAACTTTTGATTATGGCATGTGCATTAATACATTTTTTTAAAATTTAGGCTAAACCAGTAATTCATAAAAGGCATTAAACCTTTATTAAGAACAAAATTGAAATGTTACTTTTATATGAAAATTTATCATGCTATTTAGGTTAATTTTTTTTTAAAAAAAAGGTCTTTCGTCGTTGAAATCGCTGAGGCTTTCAAATTCAAGAGCCAAATGATGACTTTCGTTAGCCAAACAAATTCTTTCAACTTGTCACATAGGGTCAGGATCTTTGTTCTGCTCCTGTTGCAGCTTCCTCTGCAGCACAGCAACAAGCATGCAACAGCAGAAATATCAGAACGCTAGGGAGGATAAAGGCCTTCATTTCACAGAAGCCTGTTCTTCACTTACAATGAATGGTACATCAGCTTTTCTCACCAAACACAATCTAGAATATATATCCGTGATATAAACACAACTTAAACAGAAACATGGAGAACAAATAGGTCCTCTCATAGAATAATTTGCATACTGGTGATTTAAGGTTTTGTAACTATGTTGTAATTTCAAAGAAAACTGTAAACCAACCAACTTACAGAAGATGGCATCCCAATAGGTTGCCTATGTTCATTCATGAATGTACTCCCTCAATGGTCTACTCCCAGTCGAATATGTTCTTAAAAACATATACATAGATCACTCCCCAGGGGAATCTTTCCTTAGGTAACTGCTTCCTAGTAATGTGCATTTTTAATAAAAGGCTAAAACAATAGATGGTACCCAAATCTGCCTTTCTAGACAGCTGGCAGCACCTTTCTCTAAAATAACTTGCAGCCTTGGGCTGCCAGACTAAAATTTACAACAACAAACAATTGGATGTAAGCTGATATACCTACAGTGACAGAGATTGAGGAATACCATCTGTCAACCCATAAGTGTAGAAACAAAACAAAGTACAGAACGAATACAAACATTTTAAACTAACAAACAAATATAGCTGAATACAGTCCATGATATATTTGATTACTGGTATAACCATAGATGAATACTTAAATAAAAAGTATTATTTTTTTATAATGATGTTAATGGACTTATAAAAGGTTTCTGTTTCCAAAGATGTTACTGGGGTCCACATATTCCTTGACAGATTTCAGCATCCCAAAGCCGACATCAGAAATGCTTTCCTTTAGCCACTGCTTCCGTAACTTGCCCACTGGAAAGACAAAATCAAAAATGCTTCAATATACACTATGATGCTAGAAACCAATCAATCTTGTGACCATGAGTGCACAAACACTGTGTGATAAATGTTTTTATTCAAAAAATGAGAAATGTTTTGCTTTATTTGATTTATTGAGCCCACCAGACTATCAAGCTCATTAAGCGCAATGCATTCCCAGGGGAAGTCTGTGTTTCAGTGTCTCCTTTCTCTATAAACTATGAAACAGAGATTGAAGAAAGCCTGGACTGAGAGTACAGACTACTTTACAAGTAACAGTAGGATGAAAACATGGATTAAAAAAAATTTGATTGTATCTTAACTACCAACATGCCAATGTTTCAGAGAAAATGATGTTAGCGACAACAAAAAAACCCACATAGAAATGAATTTGCTGGGTACACTATACAAAAAAGGACAAGATACAGATCGTTAAAATATTTTATGAAAACATGATCTTTAAAAACATAAGAAAATCTGAACCTTAGCTATGTCTATAGGAAAGAAAACTAGTTATGAAGTCTATTTATATTTTTTTTCACAATGTTTCTAAATAAAATTGCACATTCCCAAAAAATGGTTACTTTCTGCATTTATGATTTTTTTGGGGGGCATTGGAAGTATCAGATACCTAAATCTCTCTTAAATTTAACCTTTTGTTTTTTAAAACTCTCTAATGTCCCTCCTTGGTTTTATTACCTTAAGGAAAATAAGTTGATATGATTCTATTTTAAAAGTCTATACACATATATCATTTTAAAGCCCATTAACAAACATATATAATATAGTGAAAGCAATGAATAAACTTACATATACACATTACGTATACATGTATACGTAACATGTGTATACGTAAGTTTATTTACATACATGTAAAAGACTTACATGTAAAAGACTTCTTGGCCTTGAAAAGTAAAGCAAAATGCTGACTATGTATCAAATGGGTAACGTTTAATTTATAGTTGTGTTATTTTGCAGTTAGCACTTCTCAAACATATGCATTAGTATGATTCAAATGGTCATCATTTTCCACAAATGTTCATTAATGATCCAGTCATAAACAGTGACTTAGTTGGCCAACTGAAATGAGAAACCTTCTTTCATTAAAGTATGGAGCCTGTCATCCTAAAATGCAGTCTCATTTATCAGGCTGTGCAATATATTATGGCATCTCCCTTCTGGAAACCTTAAATACCATTTCAGTTCAACTCAAACCATCTTTTGTGCCAAGTTTTCCATGAAATCATCAAACTGTCATCAAAATAATAAGTAGCATGATACCCTTAAATAGCAAGATATTTCTCCTTGGCTTTTGGAAGTAAAATTACTGTTGGTGTTGAGATAGAAAAAATAAGGTTTGGCCAAAACAAAAACAAAAACCAACTTAATAAAAAAATTTTGTTCAAGAAAGCACTAAACCAGACACTATTCATATTATATCTACTAGCTAAAAAATATGCTACCTGAACTATTTATATAACATCCATCTTCCTAAGGAGTAACCCATGACTATGCTTTAATCTCAATTTTCTCACTTACAAATGGATTAGAATCTAGTCTTCAGTTCTAATACTCTATGTTAATATTTAAATGTTAAAAATTAGTTATTTCCAGATTTGCTCTGTGAGATTAAAAAATCAAAACAACCTCTCTTGACAAATATAAGTGGCCCTACTATGTTCCTACATGCTTCTCATACTGAGGCAACTTAGAGAGGGGTGAAGAGCAGTCAATGCCTGTCTCCACTGTTATCTGTAATACAGTTTCACTGAACGTGTTCTATGGTTATAGATGTAATTGTCCTGAAAAGATTGCAAACAACTGCTCCAACAAGATGGAGCACATTAGCAGCTCAGCAGGATGCCCAATAGCTAGCTTGTCTGCTGGTTTTACACCTCTAGTAAGAATGCAATTCCACAAGGAACTCAACCATCATCTGAGAAGCCACCCAAAAGCCATTGCATATTTAATGAAGTCTCTCACCAAACGCTAGAAAACAGAAGGTGCTTGGAGTGCATCATTAGTTCTGTCAGAAGGATAATTTACACATCTATCTTGTCAAATTTTCTATGGTTTATACTTTTACAATAATCAATCTAACATACATTTGATTAGTGAAGTAGAAAGTAGCCAACATAGCTGTGGCCCCTCAGAAACATACTTGATGAAAGAATTAACTCCTTGGTGGTAAACAGGTATATGAATTTCTGCTATAGACTAGATTTAGACTGGCATTAGAAATCATAAGCTGCAATTACAGACTAGCAATGTTTTGTTTTGCTTACCAAATTAAGTCAAGTACATTGTATAATGAGAGTATAGGTAGAAAACAGTTTCAGTAAAAACATTCAATGTGCCTTAATAAGACAATTACTGCAAATGATACTGAGATCTGGAGTATTTTCTGTAGATGCCTAGAACAACACAAGCCCAAACCCAGAGAAAAAAGACATTGCAATCTAAGTAGACTTTCATTCTATAGCCACACAATCACAGTAATGCCCTTGTACATTCTTTTGGGGAGGGTTTTTTTTTTTTTGAGAGAGAGAGTTTTGCTATGTAGCTCAGGCTGGACTCCTATTGTCTCTACCTCCTGAGTGGGGGGATTACAGGCATGCACCATCACACACAAATCCCCCTGAACAATTCTTGAACTGTTAAGCACTCAGAAATTAGCTGCCTACACAGTTTGTATATATGCAACACACATGTGCACATATCTATATATTAGTAGCTTAAACATGTTCATTTTCTGAAGTATGCTACATCAGAGAAAGGAGAATGAATAAAAATAACAAATAACAGATAGCCTAAGACTATTTTAGCATACCAAAGCATGATGGCTATTGGCTCAAAAGGCATGTACATTTGGACCACATAGAGTCTTGTTTCCTTTCTACATCTGAATCATCTGAGGTGGTGGCATTTATTGTTATTAACTTTTGATCTCTGATTCTCTCAATGTTTAAATTTTGCTGCCTTCGAGTTAACATAGTTATAAAAAGCCAAGTTCACCATTTCTGAAAAAAAGAAAAGCTATAGGAACCATGTATTCCACAATTAACTATTATAAATAAGAATACCCACAGTATTCATATATTTAAAAGTCTTAAATGCATAAGATACAAAAATGAGGATTCAACTATTGAACATATACCAGGGAGGACCTTTTGCAGTTTAAATTAAAAACAGGGCTCACACTTTCACATTTTACAATTTTGTTTCTATTGCTGTACATACATACCAACTGGATAAACAGGCTGGATTTTTTCTCTCTTTTTTCCCTGGGGGTATATGTGTTCTCCAATATACAATTAATTTATATATATACTTGTGAAAGAGAAAAAAACAGAAACTTCCAGAGATATCCTTTGAAATCAAAGGCTCATTTATTCACATTTGGATGTTAACCATTCTAAGGAACAATATATTCTGTAGTGTAATCAACAGCACAAAAAAATTAAACAGATGTGTATGTGAAGGCAGCAGTGAAGTAATGTTGTTTGTGGAAAGTGTGGACTTGGTCAGCATAGCCACTAATTATTATCAGGAGTTAACTCTTTGTGGTTTAAGGGAATGAAGATTTAGCAGAAAGCACCAAAGGCTCCACTTAAAAGAGACAAATCTGGGGTCTGCTTGTCACAGAAGTCTCTTTTAGCTTGATATAATTTAACTTTTTTAAACACTAAGCTTGCTTCTAAAGCCAAGAAGACTTGTACATTTAAGACTAAATAATGAAATGGGACATATATTTAGAATTGCTGAAGCTAAAACTGAAAAATACAATGTAGCTTCTGGGTAAATAAAGTTTGCCTAAGATAATTTAAAAGATGTTAAATTTGGGCCGAGAAGTTGGCTCAGTGATAGAGTGATTGCCTTGCATGCATGAGGCTCTAGGTTCAATTCCTCAGCACCACAGAAGCAGAAAAAAGCCAGAAGTGGTGCTGTGGCTCACCTGGTAGGGCACTAGCCTTGAGCTGAAAGAGCTGAAGGACAGCGCCCAGGCCCAGGTGCCCAGGCCCATGCCCATGCCCCAAGACCAACAAAAAAAAAGAAAAAGAAAAAAAAGAAACAAGATGTTAAATTTGAAAATCTCTTATCAGAATTATCTGTTTGCTAATACTATAAAACTACAAAAAGTATTCTATAATAATAGAGTGCAGGTATTCTTGGATGAACAAATATCTTACTTATAAGAATCTTAGACATAAAAGTGTCAGAAAGAGCCAAGCACTGGTGACTCATGCCTATAATCCTAGCTACTCAGTAGGCTGAGATCTGAGAATTACAGTTCAAAGCCAGCCTAGGCAGGAACATCTGTGAGACTCTTATCTCCAATTAGCCACCAGAAAATCGGAAGTGGTGCTGTGGCTCAAGGTGTAGAACGCTAGACTTGAGCTTTAAAAAAAGTGCCAAGAAGAGTAAGTTCTCTTTAGAGGTCTGAAGAGGAGTGGTTATTCAAGCTATCTATCTTCTCTTAAAGTTATCTCTGAAGGCATAGTTTTCATGAACAGGTGGTAAGAGACAACAGACACAATGTTGTCATTGGACCTTTATCTAATACCGAGCATGTATAGTTGCATGGTTAGGAAGGGCAGGGAGCAGAAAATTTTACCTATAAAATTTCTGTCAATCCTCAAATCTGAACCTATGATACAGCTGTTCTATCAAATCATGACTTTGCTAATACTCATCTGAGAAAGCATTAATTCTCAGTCTCAAAAATTAAATTCCAAACATGTAACCCACTTAGTAAATACAAATGAACTGAACAGACAGTTCTCAAAAAAGAAGTACAAATAATACACAAAAATTATTCAACATCTCAGCTATAAAGGAAGTAACACTAAAACCACATGGAGACCACACGCTTTAGTGTCATCCTAGCTACTCAGGAGGTTGAGACCTAAGGATCGTGGTTGAAAGCCAGCCCAGGGAGGAAAGTCTGAGACTCTCCAATAAACTACCAAAAAACAAAAAAAAAAAGCTGCAAG